AATTTTGCTGATGTTGCTGCTGATGAATAATGATATAATAAATTTGGTACTTGACAAATTCATAAAGTAAAGGAAAATTGTGAATCGGTAAGTTAGAATCAGCAAAGTCGAGTAATTCTTGTAGAAATAATGGATCTTCCGTTGCTTCCAGTAAACCAAAGTCATTAGAATTAGATTGTTTAATATCTAATTCTAAAATAGACGCATAGCATAATTTCTTAAGGCTAGGAATTTGGTTTCTCCATCGCTTTAACCTTATATTTAAATAGCTTCTTGCAAATTCACGACCATCTTTACCACCTAATCGGCACACACTTAGCGGAAGGTAAATCCACATACTTAATCATTTTTCTAGAGAATTTATAGCCTTATCAACACCAGCTTCTAAATTATTAAAAAATTGTTCAAACGTTTCATTGTCTAGAGCATGTATAGTATCCCACAACTCATTATCAAAAAACAAACAAATATTATCTCTAATATTATACAATTTTTCTATCCATTTAATATATTTGTCAGACATCTCATGGGCTCATCAGCCAGGTAGAAGCGGCAGTAATTGACCATCTGACTGAAGAATTCACGGTTCCTTATCAAACCCAGTAAAAAAATTCATTATAGGTTCATAAATTTTTTCACCAAACTTTGCAAGACATTCGATTTGCATTTTTAAACACAGATCCATAAGCCATTGTTGAAGAAGTTTCCATTTTTCAAGATATGATTTTGGAATTTTTTTTTGTGACTTTAAATTATTTAAAAACCAACTAGTAAATTTTTCCACATATTCTCTTCTTTTTACTAGTTGTCTCGTCGCTTGCAATTCGTATAGCCATCATTGTCATAAAGGCTTTTAGAATTGCGTTAAACGTATGCCGAATAATTTAAAATATAACTCGAAAATATATGACAATTTCATATTCATTGGATTATCTTTGTTGCTTTCGGTATAGCCATTATATAACTGCCAAATAAGGTAAAGTAAATTAAACGGATGCTTTTGATTCGAAAATCCTTTTTCAACTTTTAATTTTCCAAATGCGGTATTCTCAAAATTCAACATCATTATATGTGCAGAGTGAAGTGCATATGATATTCGAAATAAATTAGAGCTAACCTCTTTATTAAATAACCTTACCGCACCGTTTTTGCAACCTGACATATATGCCGTATTGTCAGTTGTCCAAGTTAAACATTTAGTTGGATCTAACTAATATTGGCTACACGATTTCAGAACAGTATTTGCAACTGATAATTCCGTACATTGTGATAAATCTTCAAGTTCCAATAAGGAAACTTTTGGTTCATTAGCAACCAAATCCCAATACATAAAATATATAATGAAGACTTTACTATTACCACGTGTTGACTCGTCTGCCATAATTCCAAAAGCGAACCACTTGGAAATTTTAGAGATAACATATTGTTGAATTATATGAATATTTGAAACGTCTTGGTGCCATCCAACAAGTGTACTAACAGAGAACCACTTATCTGGCTCTTCGTCTATTAGCCATTCAATTACCTTTTTTGTGCAAGTTGCAGCAGATCGATACAACATTTGACCAATTTCGCAAATTTGTATAGCCATTAAAACAGTTTTAAAACTATACTGTTTTTTATTTGTCATAAGTCGATCTTGAATAGCTAAATTTAATTGTCTATTTGTGATCGTAGGTGTTTTACATGCCACAGAACGAACTAAAGAAATTTTTTTTTTATGAACTTGTTTGAATTTATTAACTTTACCGTGTAAAGAGTTGTTGATTTTTTGTAAACGATCAATTTTTTGAGATGATGGCTTTCTAGATTTAATATGATTATTGTTCTAATGATATAAAGATTTTTCAATAAAATTATAAGCCTTTTGTTGTATATACTTTGAAAAAATCTTGCCAGTTTTAGGTCCCTTACTATAGCTCATACGATTTAATAATGATATTCCAAGACTCAACTTGCTATTATCCATATTTGTTGCTATATTTAATAATGAACTCCATACTTGAAAATATTGTGGTTGGGAAATTTGTGCTTGTACAAGTTTTTCGATTATACTTATAAACGTTGTTAGAGTCAAATCTGGTAAATCAACTGCGTATTCTATAAGTTTGTCAATGTTTGTTGTTTAATATTAAATTCTATATTTGAGCTATCATTATAGGTATAGTTACGAGTATCATGATGGATATCGCTATGGGTATCACTGTGGGTATTATTATGGGTATCATTATAGCTATCGTTATAGCTATCGTTATAGCTATCGTCATTATGATAACTATCGTTATAGTCATTATTACTTGTTTTGGTAATCTTTTTTTTTGAAAATTGCTGTTGATTACGTGCCTTTTTTAGTTGTTGCCGTCGTTTAAATGCTGTGTTAATTCGCAGCATGTTTTAGGTCAAAAATAGCTATGTTTTTTTATTAAAACTAACGAAGATACGATTTTCAAACTAACTACACAAAATTTTTATATCAAATTTTTTTTTATTTTGTAGCTCTCATTTCTTTCTTTTTAGTAACAATCTTGATTTTTTAATTTTTATTGAATTTATTGTTGTTACATTTTGAGTAAAGCTTGTTTACTTTGTTGAAAAATTTCCCACTTGTAAATGAAATAAATCGAAAAAATGCTATTATTACATTATTCTAAGCAAATTAAAATATCGCTCGCAACAAATCAAACTTGCAATTATTATGTTAGTTTAAGAGAAAAGTATACCAAAAGTTGTTATTATCCGCAGTAAATTCGGATCTTTATAAAAAATATCCAATTAGTAATTAGTATATATATCCTTACTTATGATTTGATTTTATTAGTTTGATGATCACCCTAGTGTCACATTATCTGAATCATCACCACAGCCATATCTTAATAACCAGTATATTGCTTTGTTACATATTTTAAGAAATTTTTACAGCAATAAAACTGCATGCAGAAGCTAGACGATTCTGCAGTGGCTGTGGCATCTTATCATGCGCCCGTACTTTTGGTGGTCGCCCTGGCGAACTCGTTTTTAACTAGTCCTAGACCGGACTTTTTAGGGACCGGACCAGACGCACCACTTAACATCCCTATCTATTAGTCCCCTTCCCGTGAACAATGAGAAAAAAAGGCGAATAATGTATCATACGAAAATGCACGTAAATACAATTATAGACGCAATAGTAAACTGTAATAAAATCATGATTTTTGGGCACAAAAATTAGTGACCCGATATATATTTTAGCATTTTTTATATTTTTTTATCGGATTCCTTACCGATCTGATGAAATACTAATCACTGATCATCAAAGACCAGAGTGAAAGAACTTGTTGATCATTTCTGTATTTTCTTTAAGTCGCTTGATCACACTTCATATGATAGGCAGCATAGCGGACTTTCATTGTGGTTGGCCAATTTTGTAACTATCCCAACAGCACCCTGAAAAATTTTTCGGTAACAAATTCTTAAAAGTTTGTTAATATTAGGGTTAGCGTTTGTATTTGGGTTTGATGTTAACTAAATATATGGTAAAATTGCTCAAGGAAAACTTTTTATTAGAGCACTAAAGAAGGTTTTTTATGCAGATTTTTGAGTTATGGGCAAGTTTTAGCAAAAAGAATGTTTGTTTTTAATTTTACATTAGTATTAGTTACACCTGATCTTCAACCGTGATTGGCTTTTGGTCACATTTTGCAAAATTTTTCGGAGTGCTATTGGGGCAAAACTTACTCCTGCACTTACTTTTTTTGATACACCTAAACATACTCTAAAATTTTTATATTTTTTATTAAAGTTTTATTATAAAAACATACAGTCCTATTGGTTAGTTTTAGGGTATGTTTAGGT